CATATTATGAAACCATATCTTATTGTTAATTTTACTAATTGTTAATTTTACTATTGTTAATCTCTTTGAAAAACAGAGCGGTAACTACGTAGTTTTTCTACCACTTTTTAAACGTTTGTATGGATTGTAGAAATTGCAAAAACGTACTTTTACGTGACCAGCTTGCAACGTATTAATTAACTATATCCTAGTTACTTAGAAATGAAGAAAAACACACTCAAAAAATAAATTATTAAAAATACATTTTAAAAGCTGATGAAATTAAGAATTCATACAGCACTTTTGTTAGAAAAAGGTTCATTAATTCAAACGCTATCCATCTGTAAAATATATTCAAAGCACTATCAATTTGTTAGAAAATTAAATATAAAGAAATTCTGATACACTTCAAATGATGAGTATTTATTTTTATAGCTAACTTAAACAATTTATCTCAATTTTAAGCTTTGTTAGTATCAATTTTTTAATTAGAGTATCATTTGTTATATTGATTTCAAATTACGAGAGAATAGTGCTAAATTTTAAATTAAATTAACAATAAAATCTCACTTAATGAAATCTGCCAGTATAATTATAGTTAGGTAACAAAAATTATGCTTAAATTTAATTAAACTTGAGCCGTATTATTGTAAAAAGCATTTTCGTATGCTTTGCAATTATCACAAATATCTCTAAACTAATCGCTAAATTATCAAGTCTAGTATATCATTATATTAGAATTTCATGTAGAGTTGTCTCAATTTTTAAAAAATTTTTGCTGAAATAGTTTCATAAGACTTCAAATAGTATAAAAATTATTTCTTTAACTTAATAATGGAACGCTGAATAATGAATCTTGTTTTGACAAACATCTAACTAAATAAAAGCAAATTTATAGTTTAAAGCTCATCATTAAAATTTTCAATAAACATTTTTCATGTTTTTTGAAAAGTAAAACGTTTTTGCTTTTAAAGATGAAAGTTATTAATTCAGTTAAAAATTTCAAATCATAGTTATTTTTTACATATATAGCAAAATTGTAATATAACCGATAATAATTTCTAAAATGTCACAGTTAATAACGAAATCGTAAGTAATAGTAAACATGCATTAATGAAATATGTACATTTTAAATTATGGTTATTATATGCGTACAATGTCACTTAAAACATATCTTTATACAATTTTTAAATTTTTTTATTTATTTTTTTTTCATTTATCAATTTTCAAAACATCTTTAGAAATGTCTTTTTATTTTTGAACTTTATATTACATAATTTACTTTGCTCATATCACTTAATAAGATGCTCATATTTCATATAAATAAAAGGAAAGTACTCTAGATCTAGTAGAAAAATTGAATATGAAACGAAATAAATATCTCGATTTAAAAAAGAATTTTTTAACTGTGGAATATAAGAACATTCTCTGAGGATCTTGAAAAATTTCATAAATCTATGATTCGACTGCAAATGTAATGCGATATATTTGATAAAAAGACCACTTTTTCATTTCTGAGTCCAGCAACTTGTCTTATAAAACTTCTGATTTATTCTAGTTTACTTACAAAAACAAATTTAAATCTCAAAGTCGGCTTTAGATCTTGTTTCAGCTTTTTGAACTCTAGTAATTTAGATTTCTGAATATTTCAAATAAAGAATTTTAATGTTATTGTATAAATGTTTGGATTTTTAAATATTATTTTCCTAAATCAGGCTTCTTTAACCAATAGTCTGCTGATTTTGCATCACAATTAAAAACAAATTTTAGTAAGCCCTGTTTCAAATAGTGTTATTCTGAGATCTGAATATATTTAAAAAAAAATTATCTGTATTTTTTCAACAAAAGGTAATAAGTTTTGCTATTAATGTTATTAACTATTCTATTTTAAGAATTTCATTTTAAGCAATGTAACCTTTTAATTTAAAAAAAAAATAATTTGAAATTATAGTTTAAATTACACGTATTTTTAATAATGTTATTTAAGGATCCTAATTTTAAAATATTTAACTTCAAATTATAAAATTTGAATTTTTTAAGTTGTTTAGTTTGAAATTGTAGCAAAATTAGTAAAGCTTTTAATAGCGCAATTTAAAAAGTATGATTTTTAATTAATTCGTGCCGAACTATGCAGTCTTTTAAATAATTAAATTTTCCTAATTTATTTTTCCTTCTTTAAATTTCAGTTTTTGAATGGATTTAAATTTAAACTTTTAGTTTTTAGCGATATATGATTTTAAAATGCATTTTGAAGTTATTATTTTTCCAATAATTAACCCTTTGATTACTGCTGGTACAATAAGTGAACCAGAATGATTTCATCATTCTAAGCGCAGTAAGCAAAAAGTTAATTACATAAATTATTCAAATCAAAAAAATAGCTGTTTAAAATTATTAAGTTTTATACGGTTTTTAAATAAAACTATTGACCGCTGATTACATTTACGCCTGCACTGTAAGTATCACGAAATTTTCGTTTACGACGAAACCATTTCCTTGCACATGCTCCTAGCAAAACATTTCACCGAAGTGACGAAATAACTATCGCCATTTTTTCGGGAAAACGAATTTCGTCAAATTTAAAGAAATACTTCGTCATTCAATTTCTTTCAAAAGAAAAAAAAACCACAGTGCCTAACTTTTTTAACAATCACTTTCAAATGAACTCCGTATGAGTGGTACGACGCAACTAGGACAGATAAATAAATTGCACCCATACCCGAAGTGGGATTCGAACACCGGATCTTCCTGGTACGGAGCCATATAGAAAGTCAGCTTAATTCTGCCCTTTATTTCCGCTTGTCTATACTTTATTCTAGTTTCGTCAATGTAGTTAAGTATCTCCCACAATGCACTACGATGAGGTTTCTAGTTGAGGAAATATTTTCGTCATATATTTGAGAGCCCGCTTTTCATCACAAATCAAGTGATTTCGTGACAAAATGATAATCAAAATTAATGACATACTGCTCAAGGATTGCTGAATCATCAAAACTGAATGTTTCATATCTGAGAGTGCATATACAAAATACAAATCTGCTTATTTCTCCCACTTGACAACAACATAGATGTATTTTTTTCTTCAATATTTCAATAAGAATTTTGACTTCATCTTGAGTTGTTTGCTTACATTTATCTTTTAGTGATACATTTAGGCAGGAAACCTTTATATATCTCATACCATATATCTTCTTTTTTTAGAATACTTAAGAATCAGAACCTTTAATATAAAAATGTTTCATTTCGATAGGTCATATTTCACAATAACATGTTGACAATTTTTCAAATGCTTTATAAGAGAGTAATGGGTATATCACACGAAATATTTTCTTTAAGAAAAAAGCATTTCAGTCAACTCTTTTTTTTCACGTCAAAATATAAAGAATTTTGAAATATTTTTTCAGAGAGTATAATATCGAAATAGAACAGCATGTATTTTATTTTAAATAACTAAAATCACTACAGTTAAAATAAAAGGTGATAGAAACTTGTTATTTTTCTTTCTTAAAGCATGTTTTTTTTCTGATATAAAGTTTCAGAAAATCCTATATTTTATCCAACAAGAAATTACTTTTACTTTAAAAACCTTTTTAGAGCAAGCACAGAAATACAATAATATCTTAAAATTTTTCTGCATTCTTAATAAGATGTTGAAATCGATCTTTAAGAAACACCGTCATGAACTATTCACACGTCAGTTTATGTACCTACACTCTTTGAATTTACACATTAGCTGAAACGAATAATAAGTGACAAAAATATGTAAATCCTTTTGTTGTACACTGCGAAAAAAATTATCGTCTAAGCTACCAAAATATGATAGATTTTACCGCTCTTCTGTTTCAATGGGAAAAACAAGAAGTTCAGTTTACCGAAGCGCTTTGGTAATGATTTTGCTAGAATTAACAAGAAAGTATGGTTTTATAATATGTGATAAAATTTGGTAAATACAATGAAACTTGGTAATTTTATCATGATACCTTAGAACATTGCATAAAAACCATTTATTCGGTTGAATTTACTTTTCATTTTTGTACTTTTTACTAGATGTATGGTAATAAAAACTATAATTTTGAAAACCTGAGTTTCAGATAAACCGTTACTGTATGAATGGAAAAAATACTAAATTAGCAGTTGAAATACCGGATATTTTGATTTTTAATACCAGAATTATTGTCTTTTTGCCATAAATGTCTTTACCATACATTGCGGTAAATTTACCAAATTTTATTTCTCCTTGTAGATTGCTCTGAGAACTTGCATGTTAAATCAACCTATCACTTAACATGTTCTTCTGAAACATTTGAACACTGAAACTTTGAACTATTTTGTTTGCTGTCAAGTCTTTTATCTCATTCAATTTTAACCTTATCTGAAAAACTCTGTAGTCATATGAAGTAAATAATAGGCTATTTTTAAAGGTGTTAGGAATATCAATTACTCATAATTGTTAAATTAAGTTTTATTCCTATTCAATTCCAACCTATTCTCAAAAAATCTGCCATCATATGAAGTAAATACTTGGTTATTTTTAAATGAGTTAGGAAATTATATTAGTTACTCATAATTATTAATTTAGGCTTTATTCCTTTTTTAGCTATCATCTTCTGCACGAAATATTAATTATCGCATACTAATTATTAGGCTCTATCGACTTTATTGTTAGATGTTCAATACTTTCACTTAAAAAAACCTTTTTAGAACAAACACAGAAATACAATAATATCTTGCAATTTTTCTACAAAATAAGGTGTTAAAATGAACCATGTTTCTATCCAAGTTGAGTGATTTCAAGGTTCAACGAAATATAAAAATGATTGACTTATTCTGTAAAGTAGCTCATAGGTATTTTATTCAATATTTATAGGTTATTTTATTTAATACACTTTAAATATATAGGGACCTTAAAACAAAATGTGCATTGGAAACACTGCGTAAAGAATTATACATTGAAAATAGTATTGCTTTCAATGCATAATTCCATGAAACTTAAATACGAAATAAAATAATGCCATCAATTCTTTCAATGTATCAATTCTGTTTATTTTTTATTTATTTTTCGTTACATGCAAGGTAACAGTTGATAGAACAATTTTTGTTTTGTTTTCCCACCACCTTCATATTTTTTATTTCGAAAGAACATCAAGTTCTATCCTTAAAATACATAATTAATATAATAACCCCAAATTCATATCGGCTTCACAATCACCATCACAGAACAATGCTACCAGCAAATAATTTGAAACTGCTGAAGTATACTTCAGCATTTACTTTTTGAAGAGTGGAAAGATACCATTGATCACAAGTCAAACGACATATTATTATATCCTTTCTGCTGTTTTGATGAAAGTTCTTTCAAATGTAATTTACTGAACAAAATCTTGCGTGTTTTTTATTTTTATTTTTGGGTCCCTGATAAGCAATGTTCAGAAGATGATGATTTATCAGAAGACAATATTTCTCAAGCATCCTGATTAGTCATCGGGATCCTAACATCAGGAGCTGTTCCATTCTCAGGATCATTTGTCATCATTGTTCCAATGACAAAAACTGGTTCGGTACCAGGGTGACCATCTTCTTCCATGTCTTCATCTTCGTTGTCTAAATTATCTGTTTGGTCTAAAGTTGGTGCACATTCCTTTGTGTCAAAAATGTACCAGATAGTTACAGCTATCATCAGAAATATGATGAAGTGTATTAAAGGAAAAAAGCAATATTTCGCAAGTAAAAAGCCAATAAATGTCATAAAGGTAGCAAAGCAGAAGCGACTTATTCCATATGCCAGAATTCTTGCAACAGTTCTTCCTTCAGTTTCCATTTCTAAGCAATCTAAAGAATAATGCTTATCATGTTAATGTCAAAATAATATTATCACCACAAAAGCAAAATAAATCATTTAATTATTAAATCATTAAATCATTTAATTATTTTTCTGATCAATAAGGGGAAAAGTACATATATTTTAATTCACTAAGTCACAAATTCTTTATAAGTAAATTTATTAAAACTTAATTAATATTTCATGGTAGGCTTTGTTTCATTATATAATTTTCACATGCTCTAAAATTGCTAAAACTATGGTTCTATATTTTCGTGCAAAGTTTTATGAAATTAGTGCTCAGTTGGAAAAAATTTCTGTGAAAGTTAAACATTGGTATCCATAGCAAGTTAAACAAAATTTATATCCTGTGTAAGTTAAACATTTGAAAATTTCCTACATCACTGTGGTGATGTAAGTTAGATAGGTACCAAATCGAGTGATGTGGTACCTATCATAGTGAGCATCATCTATGCAGAACCAAAATTACATGGTGTTCTTACCATGGTCGTTAAAAGTTAGAACCCTAAAAAAGGAGATGGATACTTGGCCGATTTGGACAGTAGTAATGTGTAATTTTGTCCCAATTTGGTCATTTAGAAGGTTGAAAACCGATGAGCGTTTTCTCTTATTTCAACATTCCGTTCAATCTACCGACGTCTATTGGAAAAAAACAGCTGTATGACATTTTAAACTATACTGCCTTCTAAGAGTTAAGGTACAGTCCAAAAAAAAACTGTCATCAAAGATCGAATGTTCAAGATCTGAGACTCAATCTTAATGATTCTAGGAGACGACTTCAAATGCGCCAAATAATAAGTGCAGACAATATTTTAAGACTGAAACAGACACAAAAAAGTACTTTATCGGAAAAAAAACATGCCTTTTTTCGACGCATTCAGATTTTTGACCTCCAAAAGATAGGGATCAGCCGCAATTTGGAATATTTGGGCCCAACAGTTTGGTCAGGAGAGCGATCCAAAGTATGGACCCCTTAATGTTAAGTTTACTTTTTGCGTATTCCGCTATATCTTGAAATACATTTGCACAAAATTATAAAATTCGTTTATCCAAAGATAATTTCATGCAAAAAATAACTTTTAGTAAATATTTGCAATTTTTGAAAGAGTAGGCGAAAAAACTTTTGAATTGTGAGTTGTACAGTTTTTACATCATTTTAAAGAATTTAATTTCCCAAAAGCGAAATACAAATTTACAGCGAAATCGGTCGTATAGTTTCTGGAAATCGAATTTTATAAATATGACTTATTGAGAGTCAAAAATACAAATCCGCCAAAAGCAAGTATGTTTATTTAAAGAAAATACGTTTTCGTGTCTGATTTAGCTACTTGAAATATCGTCTGCACTAATTAATTTGCACAGAGGTCACCCCCTTGAACCATTAAGATTGAGCCCCAGAAATTAAAAATCCAATCATTAGATCAAATGTTATTTAGAATAGTCCTTTCTTGTGCACTTTTCAACTTGTTTTCTGTATCGAATTTAAAAATAAATGAAGTTAGGGAGTCACATTACTATAGTAATTGTTTATAGAAGTGCGATTTTTTTCTTTCCTAAATATTAATGTGCGTATCGCTGTGTGTATACTTTTTTTCCATTAGTGATAAAGATTCTAGAATTATACATTAAAGACAGTCCTTATGGAACACCCCGTTTAAATAATAATGAACTTATAAAAAAAACTCTATGTAAGATTTTAAAACAGTTAAATAAAATCCCAGTTATTAACATAGCACATGAATTTCTAAAACAAATTTATAATTTTTATAAGTCTTAATTTTAAATTGAGTCATTGCAAGAATTTAAAGTAATAATTAGATTATTGAATTTTATTGTCAAATTTAATTTATAAGAATTTATGGAAGCTGCTAAAAAATGTCGGAAAAGAATTGGACCAAACATTACAAGAATTTATATTACATCATAAGATCAAGAAAAAATATTTTAAAAAAATTTAATAATTATTAGGAAATTATAACTAAATTTAAGGAGGAAAATTTTAAAATTTTCTTCGATATTATTTAAATGAAAAAAGCTGACTTTTTTTTACATCGAGAATTAAATTTCCGATACCAGTTTTGAAGTTCATACAGATAAATGAAGACTCAGTATTATGACTCCACTAATAAAAGGGTGGCACCCCAGCGAGCATGGTGGCACCCCAACATGGGCACCCCAACGAGCAAAGGAGACCCTTCACAATCACAAGCTGAGAGCGACTAGTGATAACAACTGAACATATCCTACAACAACAACGAGAACCACTTACCTGAAAATCGCTTAACTGTCTTACACAACTCAGTTATTTAAAAACAACAAAATTACAACTTAAAAAGAAAATCAAAATTAAAGTTTAATTCACAACAAATCAAATCGAAATTAAGCAAAAATAGCATAATAGTAAAGGAAAAAACAGTAATCGATGGGGAAGCAGAAAAGTCATTAACTTTTCAAACTTTTAAAATTCTTTAACTTTAATTATACTACTTGCTTTACATAAAACTAACTCTGTATTTTAATTTACATTTTTATGTTTTAAAATTTTTTAAGAAAAATAATTTCTCAACATATCCCAAGCTGAATAAGATCGTTTTTGTTCTTATAATTTTCTAGCAATCAAAATCTAATCAACTGATGTTACATATTATAAAATTAACCAATAATCTCAAATTATTAAAGTAATTTATTTTTTTATTTAAAATGCAAAATTATAAAAGATGTAAATAAGAGTAAGTACTTACCGAAGACAAATATACTGGATACAAAGAGATCAATAAGTCAGGCAATAATAGAAAGGAACAGAACAAGACGTACTTCCAAGCACAAAAGTTTAGGCACAATAGGATAGCTTACTGAAAAATTGAATAAATTAAAGTGCGATATCTAATCACGTGGTATAAATGTCCATATTTGATTGGCAGTTTAGCTTTCATCGTAACTGTAAAACCTAAACGTAAATAGTGTAGAGGGATTTCCAGGAATTAGTCAAAAGTTTGAACCGGATCTATGACGAAATATTTATTTGACCTTTTTCAAAAAAGAATGGTAAAAGGTCACCTTTGTTTAATTTCGAAATTTAGTAAAATATATTCAACTAAATAGCATGAAATTCAACTTTTTCTGTCATAACGCTTCTCAATATATTTTATCGTGAATTCTTTTCCGTCATTTAATTTTATAAAAATACCCAGTTTTCTCAGAAAAAAGTTGAAAATGCATAAATATTAAAATATTTAGATTTAATAATTTTTTTTAATTTTAATTATAATTTTAGTTTCAACACAGCAAGATTTTTTTTAAAAGAAATATGGGTGTAAAAATATATATACACGCAGGATTGTTTTAAAATAACATGAATTTCATTTTGAAACTATTAGTTCTTATATGGAGGATTCTTCAGAAAACTAATATTCAAAAATATAATGCATGATTTCATGAATTACTTTCTTTTGAAAATGATAGTAATAATAAAATTAATCGACACACTATTGACTATCATAAAACATACTTTGGTATATTTTGCATATCCTTATGATAAAGCAATTAATTTTTCCCATAAATAAAACAGTCATAAAATATCCGAAAAATTTTTTAAAAGGAACATTAGTAACAGGGGCAAAAGCGACAGATTTTGAAAAAAAAAATTTTCCTGAAAATTATTAGAGGTGTGCTTTTTTAATAAGTCCTTAGAAAAAATAAATTATTAAATATAAATGTTCCTATCAAAATGAAATATCAATGTGGAAGAGTCTGTAGTGAGGAATAATAAAAATATTTTTACCTCTTAGCTGATATGGATGCTAAAATGTATAATTTTTAGTCTGAAAATTTACTATATTTCAACTGAATGTGAAAAATTAATGTCTTACGAAATATTCATTCTAATTTTATTCAATATATGGCCTTCTAATGATCAATTTAACAATTGTTATAGTAAGGGAAAATGATGACAAGTGAACTAAGAGGCAGCATTTTTCTGCTGAATTGAGAAAATATAAAAAGACTAAGGAAAAAGTGTAATAAACATTAAGGAGCAGCGAAAAATTAAATTCTCGATATTTTTTCCTAATTAAATCTTCACGAAACCTATCAAAAATTTACCCTAAAATAGTTATAATTTATTTTTTGCTAATGTACCTGATTACTTGATGTAAAAAATGCTAAGTAACTCGAAAAATCTCAATTTCTGCTTTGTCCTTATTTTTTTCTAAATCACTGATAGAGTCCCCAAAAGCAAGAAAACTATAATCAATACACAATTGATTACAAGAGACCATTGGAAACACAAATAGAAAATTTTTGAATAGATTCTTTAACCATGAAAAGAAAGAATATTTCAACCCAACAGCAATTAACTATATACTATTTCATTACCAAAAGCTTTTGAGTAATGCAAATGTCCAAGTATAGAAAAAATAGTTGTAAGAGAAGAGCAAGCCTCCAGTTGAATCAAAAACTGAGAGAAAAGTGTTACGAATGCCATGGACATTTTAAAATGGAATATCTACAGCAATACGAACATTAATTTTTAAAAAATTACCAAAGCTGAGAGATAGAAATCAAAAACTAAAGCTACATTAAGCATTTCCATTATCAAGGAACTAAATTCCATTTACGTTGGCTAAGTTGTTCGAAGTATGGGAATGGTTAAGAGCATGGAACATGCTATAATTGATTTGCTTTCTATGGAAAGAAAGTTTTCAGTTGTATGAGAGAAAAATATTATAAATACCGGAAGTAAAGATGGTATATGAGACTGACAGAAATACGTTAAAATCAGTTCTCATAGTGGAACACATGTCTCCTGCACACGAATGAATTGCTGCTTATAGGGCACAACTACAGGGCCTACGTCTTATTCTTGCACCATCCCTAAAATACTTGAGCAATGTGAAGAAAATCTTATCGCTCAACTACCTATCTAGTACTATTATGGAAAAGATTCCTTATGATGATGATAGTTCTCTAAGTAATGTTATAAGTTATTGAAAAGATAAAATTAGTACATTGCCAACTATTATTGAGAATATTCCACTTGGTTTTATTATACTAATAGTATTCCTCAATGTATTGTTATAAATCATTATAATATCTTGCAGAGGATCGTGTGTCTTTTGCACTTAAGAATTGCCGCTAAAGAATCTTTAGTTTGATGTTTAAAGGGCGCAACTACTGAGCCAACGTCCTATTCTTGTACCATCCTTAAAATGCTGGAGAACTGTGAGGAAAATTTTATCGCTCAGCTACCTACTATTATAGTACTATTATAGAAAAGATTCCTTTATGTTGATGATAGTCACTAAGAAATGTTACAAATTGTTAAAAAGATAACATTAGTACATTACCTACTATCATAGAAAATATTCCACTTAATATTACATGACGATAGTATTCCTCTATGTATTCTTATAAATCATTACAATATCTTACAGAGGATCGTATGCCTTTTGCACTCAAATGAATTGCCGCTAAAGAACCTTTTATTAGATGTTTAAAGGACGCAACTTCTGAACCAACTTTCTATTCTTGTACCATCCCTTAAAATGCTTGAAAAATGAGAAGAAAATCCCATCACTCAAATACCTACTATTATCGTGCTATTATGGAAAGAATACCTTACAATACTAAGAAAGTGATAATCATCTATGCATTCTTGTATATTATAAAGATAACGTTAGTACCTGCTATTATAGAAGGCATTCCACGTAATATTAAAAAACGATGGTACTGTTAGAAATTTATAATGCCTAAATAACAATTTGTTTAAATATTTTTTATTTTTTGTTTTTTTCATATTCAAACAGAACAGTCAAATAACCATAAATAAAATGGTATTCAAACTGTTAACTGTGAGAGAAAGGTTTTATTAACTGCTTTGATCCAGTACGGTTAAACAACCAGAGTTTCATCACACCAACTAGACATACCAAATGAAGCCACTTAGTTCCTTGCAGCCAGGGACATATTGTAGTCGAGAGGACAATTTGTCAATATCAAGCCCAACAGAACTGGGGTTCGAATCCCAGCGTTGACACCACGATATTTTGTCCATTCCTTTCTACACGTAATGAGTTACCAGTGTCCTGCACTTTCCAAAGCCTAACGAAAAGTTTAGCTCCAATGTCCAATTAAATTTCCTTTTCATGATTTTAAAACCATGCTAGTTGTAAATGGTTAAAAAAATGCTCTTAACCGTAGAATTTACTGTTAAAGGAAAAGACAGACTGTTGTCAATCATTTCACCATAATTTTAGAATGAAAATTCAAACAGTGTACTAAAATATCACATTCCGCAATTTGTGACCCTGGATCATAAGAATGTGATACTCTATCTCACACATACACGGCAGTGTCATAAAGCTGCTTAACACAAATAAGTCTAATATTTCCCATCTCTTACGATTTATTTGAGAACGGTTCATTAGATAAAAACAATTCAAGCGCAAGCTAACTCCAACATCCTCTACCAAAAGAAAAGCCTAGGTGCAATATCCAGTTAAATTTCCTTTTTACTGTTTTGAAACTATGCTAGTTGTAGATGGTTAAAAAAAGCATATAATTTTGTACTCATGCTTTTTTTAACTATTCTAATTATAAACGATTTCAAAACTGTAAAGATAAAAATTGTTCTTTACCGTAAATTTTATAATTAATTAGATGGACAGACTGCTGCCAGTTATTTAACCTTAATTTTAGAATGAAAATTCTAACAGTGTATTGTGACAAATCATTACTAAAATAAAGAAAAACATTTTATTCAAATATCCTCAAAATATATTGGCGGTGATAATGATGAAAAATTGTCTGCTATTATCTTTATTCAATTTACATCTGTTCTGCTTACAAGCAATTATTTACAGCAAAATTTATCTTAATTTGTCAGATTCGAACACCGGAACACTTTTCTCCTTGGTGATCAATAATTCAACTTCACATTCTGCGATAAAGCAATAAAGTACTATTTTTAGTACTTTAGTAAAAGCTTTTTCTGTTCTTTTTTTTTCATTCTTTTTTGAACTACTGTCATAAAACGTAACTCTTAAAGCTATTGATTTTCTTAACTAATGAATAGAACCTTAATGTTCTTGTAAATGGTTAACAAACAGTTTAACGACTAATGAGTTAAGGGTTTTATTTTTATAACAAACTTTGCGAAGATCGTTTATACTTTATTCAAAAAGGATCATTTCTTTAACATTTTTATTTCCATTATATGCTTCTAAAATTTAAAATTTCATGAAGAATTCTTTTCTATTTTAGTTTTTTTTACCATTTTCCCTTGAAAAAGACCTTTTAGAATACTTTTGTTATGTACTGCATGTTTTAAATATATATTTACTTTGCGTGTATGTCAATATATATCAAATTTGTAGGCGTTTGAAGTATTTTTATTTTATTTTTTTATTGGACAAACGCCTTACTGTAAAACTATAATTCAGTTAAAACTTTTATGTTTAAAACTATTACAAGTTTTTTAGTTAAAAGAATTTAATGCTCAACTGCGTTTTGAATTAAGTTTCTATAAAAATCTATAAATATATTTATGAACCAAGTTTGGCCTAAAAAGAGTAAAAAAAAATTATTATCCTGTTAGTTATTTATTGCAGAATTAATGTACGTTAAGTCAGTTTACGCTGAATTGCGTAATTTCACTGCAAATATTTAAACTATTAAGCTTGATAAAAATCAAATTATAATAAAATCTAATGTTGTGTTAACTCATTTTATAAATTAAATTGTATAAAAAATATACATTTTAAAGTATTTTTTTATGTTTGATTGCTTTTTTCTCATGAGTTATAAATAAAGGGACAACTTTTTTGCGTTATATCAAAACAATCAATAAAGTAGA